AACACTACGTGTGCGACATTACCTGGCTGTTACTGCAGGGTGTACAACCTGTAGCTATATTTAGATATGACGTAGGCAAAGGAATGCAGATGAGCTGTGGCATCCCACCCATCCCACCCATCCCACAACAAATATTTAACTTGCACAAATACGTGTGATTGTTAAAAAGGGCAGACCGGTCTAAATTCATCCAAGACTGGTTATGTTAATGCCGTGTTGTACATGTGAATGCCAACCGGCGTTTGTGTTAAGCAGCAGCAGCATGACGCAGTTTTCAGGTGAGACAGCAGTTGTTTAGTTGAAACAAATACACAAAAAACCCACAGCTCATTCAATGAATGCATAGAAAAAGCAGCAGCCACCAGGGCCATCAGACCGAGGGCACAATCCCTTAGCAATCGTCACAAAATATCTCCGACAGAGACTGCGGTGGAATTTAAGTCCTCTTCTCTGCACTGCAGCCTCCTGGGAGCCTGGGCTGAGATTTCATCCCCAGAGAGGCTGGTACAGGAACAGCAGGCCAAAGATGGGTGCATGGAAGTGAAGCAGAGCGTGGGACTGCATTGATGCTCTGACCCTGAAGCAGATGGTCTCCAAAGGGACCCAGAGCTGTACTCAGGTTTTATGCCTGAAGCATCTGTAGGAACTAACCCCCTTTAAGAGCAGTCTTCCCACACACAAAAAAAAACAACGCACCTTTTTAACACTGGACTGTTCAGAAAGGTGTTGGTGTGTAGGAAGGACAGATGGTGGATATCAAAAACCCTGGCTCACTACAGATGGACGCATTAGGATACAACTCTTTTTCCCCTCAGAGAAAAAGAAAATCCAGAGAGATGATAAAATATTCCTTTGGCCAGACTGCTGGTCACTGGGCGGTTAAAGGCTATGTGAACAGCTCTGTTCCCCTGCATTTCTCTCATGCCTGGCAATCCCTCAGCTTATGTAACAGAGTCTATAAACCTCAACATCAGTCATCTGTTTACAAGAGGACAGATGTGCTAATGAATGCAAATATATATTTTTCAATCATCTTCATGAAAAGCAGCTTTTATTAAAACACCATCTTATTTCTAACAGCGGCTGGTAAAGTGTGTACTCTGTGCTGTGTACACACTTTATCCAGACCTGCCACAGTTCATCTGGAGATTTTCTCTTCAAGTACTCTAAGATCGGGCTCTGCGGAGGCCGACAGCGCCGCACACACAATTCCCGGGAAATCAAGTTTCCCTAATTTGGATCCATTCTTTGCAACTAAGCTCCGAAACACCTTAAGGATTATTTTAGCGCCCTATATGTTAGCTGTCAGAAAGCTACTGTAGCTAGCTCTGACACTTTCAAACATTAACGTATTCACAGCTTTATAGCTGTTAGTTTTATACCATCACAAAAACACAGTGGCCCAAACTGACATGTGGATATTTGACTTAACGGTGATCTTTTCCCCTGTAATAGCACCTTACCTCTTATTGTTGCTTTGCTTTTTGGTTCGAACGTTTATAGAAGCTGGGTTACAATCGAACACAGGTCTCTCCACAGCGTATACCAACTCAAGGTTGTATGTAGATACATTACATGTAGACCGTGTTCTACCATCACATGCTCAGGACTGAATTATGTTGCTCTTCTTGGCCCTCACCATTGCTCTTTATTACTCTGCCAACATGTTTGGGCTTGTTGTCAAACTTTTACTCAGTGCAGCACATGACATCAAACCAAAAACTCAGCAAAATATGATGAGATTTCTCCTGGTTGCTGTGTGTCCTTTCTGAGCAGCTGATTTTAAGCAGTGAAACCGAACACACTGCTGAGCTAATGCAACGAAACGGTTAAAGTGTTTTGTGGCTCTTCTCCACAACTGACTAACAGTAATGTAGTGCAGATGTAGCTGGCGCTGTAAACACTTACCACCCCACTCTCCCCTGAGACAGTCTAGCTGGAGGATCTGCTTCTGACTGTAACAACACAAGGGCCTGAGACTATTTCCATGAATGCTTATTAACCTTAGTCTCATCCAAAGACCCCATCTGTGGCTGAGTGGGTTTAAATATGGAAAACAAATGAACATTAGCCTCTTGCAAAGGATTGCAACACACAAAATTTCTTCAATGGGACTTCCTGGCCAACCAGTTGAAGAAGAGCTTCCCAAATGTGACACAAGTTCAGGCCAAACACACTTCCTGTTTCCCCTCCAATCATGTGTTATGTCTTTATCCAAGCTACATATCCGTCAGCAGGCTGAGAGGAAAAGCATAACAGTGACAGTGCAGAGGGGAGCTTGTGTTGTGTTCACTTATTTGGTCCACACAGACAGCTTACAGAACGAGGACACTTGCCAAACGCAGGTGGTCCAAGGACCGTGACCTGATTTGTAAAATAGCTATGGCTGCATTATCATCAAGAGATGACCGCTGTCGCTTCTCGAGGCGTCTCAAACGCAGACACGTGCAAATGACAACAAGTGCCTATGAAAACGTGGTTGTGTGCAGAGTCAAAAAAGAGAAGTACTTCTCCATTGTTTAAGTACAAATATGCATATGTTTAAGAAAAACGAAAACTAAGAGGGGACGGGCTAATATGGGTCCTTATTTATGGCTCCCAAGCACTTTACTTTGGGGCGACCGTGGCTCAGGGGGTTGGGAAGCGTATCTGTAACCGGAAGGTCGCCTGGTTGTTGTGTCCTTGGGCAAGACACTTTACCCTACTGTCTACTGGTGTTGGCCAGAGGGGCCGATGGCGCGATATGGCAGCCTGGCTTCTGTCAGTCTGCCCCAGGGCAGCTGTGGCTACAACTGTAGCTGCCTCCACCAGTGTGTGAATGTGAGAGTGACTGAATAGTGGCATTGTAAAGCGCTTTGGGTGCCTTGAAAAGCGCTATATAAATCCAATCCATTTACTCTGATCTAACATCATATATTGATCAAAGAGAAGAGCAGCAGAAACAGCTTTACTTCATCGATTTCAGTCTTAAATCATATGAAACATTGAGAGCAACTTATTCTGATTGCAAAGATCTGATTACGTTACAGTTTTTCATTTTCAGCAGTGGCACTGGCATGAGACCACAGCGTGCCCCTGATCCTCAAAGGGATTTGAAATTGGATCTTTGTAGCTTAAATCTTAAATGCTCTTGTATTAAAGAACCTTGAACCTTGATTAACCTCATTCATGGATGGTTATAAGCATCTTCGGAGTATTATTACGATGCCAGATTCAATATTCTGAACCTTTTGTTTTCAAATTGGGATAATAAACTGATGGATTAAGTCAACGTTTAAACTTCTTATCAGCTTTTCAAAACCCACAATCTGGAAACTGTGATAAGTAAAATTCAGGAAGGCTACTTAGCATTTTGTTGTTGTTTGTCTTGGCTCAGCCAGATATACAAATCTCAGAATGATGAACTACATCATTAGAACTAAAAAGCAAATGAAAACACATGTAAAGCCCTCGGATGTCAGGTGAACATGCGAACATTAAGCAGGGGGACAGGGATGCTCTCTGAGCTTTCAAGCTCTACTGAGACAAACTGGGCAGCAGAGTTTGCCCAATGTGCTTCCACTTATGGTACGCCTTATAACCAGCATTATGGTACTCGTAGTTCCTCTGCCTGTGACAGTAAAGTAGGCCAAAATCCACTGCTGAGGGGGAAGCTTATCCCTGTTACACACTGTGACAGCAATCTGCTGCAGGTTGGAGCAGGAGGCTCGATTTGGCCTGCAGAGACTTGATGGAGCTGCAGAGGGCCACGAAGAGGGAACAGGAAAAGAAAACGAAAGGAAAAATGACCACAAGCATAACAAAGGGTTTTTTGGCAGTTTACATAAGAGTATTTGGATTTTAGATTGAGTACTTTGCACCTATAAACAGAGAAACTATGAAAAAAATCCTCTAGCACAATTGAGTCACAACCCATTGAAGACTCATTCAATCGATTGACGAGTTCACATTATCGTTCATAGACTTGTGTGCGCCTTCATGCCAGAAGGTCCAGTGACTGAATCACGTCAAAATGATCGTCACGTTTGCTCATACTCTAAATTCACAAGCTCAACCATTCACCACGAACAGGTCTGAGACAAAAGCAGCGGTGCCGAAATTATATGCACGAATCTGCTTTTAGTTCTTTGTGCCACATGGCTCAGTAAGAAACACGCCCACTCCGAGTGCGCTGACGTCTGGCTGCTCCGCGAGGACGTTTGTCAGCCAACCTGTTTTGTGCTATCAACAATGACGCAAGGGCGTGGGCCTTATTCAGTTCTTCGGCGCAAGCTGTTATAGTACACTGCAACGCAGAGCCAATGTCTGCGTCGCTGCTGTGGAAGAAAACGAGGCAGGCTGATCGGCAGACGGCCAAGACGGCATACAAAACACAAAGTGTGGAAACACAGCAAGACTGAAAGAGTGAGAAGGGAGGAGCTTGGCTCAGCTCTTCTATTACAGGCCCATAATTCACTCCCTTGTAAACACAGAGAAAAAGCTGTCTACCAGCACACTGACTGCTCTACGCAGCCACGATCAGAGCTCAGGCGTCCAGCCCAGCACAGTCTTCCAGCAGATGCCGAGACAGAGTTTCAGCTAAGTTGGTGATTCTGCACCACGGGGCAGCGACAACACAAATCCCTTAGCAGTAGGATGACTGCTGCTGGGCATGACCTTTAAAACAAAAGGCTATCTGTCAGACACCTTCAGTGAGGCGCAGGCTTCTCAGGGCCAACGCAGCATTTTCACACTTGAAACATTTGTGCAGAAACAGTCGAGGCCAACAACTCCACCCAACAGCCTGCTCCAGCACCTCACTCAGCCATTACTCACTGATCTGTGTTCAATCGAGATAGCTGGGGTCTGGACTTTAAAAGAAAATAACAGCTAGCACACAGACAGACTTGATATGGGAAATACACTGGCAGGAGCAAATGGTTCCTGTTGTAAAATGATCCAGTTAGAGGAAGAAGAAAAGACGATAAGCATTCTGTCAGCAGCTCGGAGGCTCTACTCACCTTCTCCAGTTGTTGTCCGGAGGTGGCGACAGGTACACCGCTCCATACGGAGAGCTCTCTATGTAGGCTTTGGTCAAGGAAACGAGTGACACATCAACACCATAACACAACAGTCAGAATTAAACCTCATTATAAAAGATATGCAGATGTGTTCTGTCTATAAGAAGCAGGTCAAAGCCCTGCTGAAGTGATGTACAGCAGAGAAAAGGTGTGAACAACAGAACCGACCGTCCCAAAACACTCAGTGAAACAACATTTAAGAAAGACATGTTTGCCTTTATACACACGCTGTGGTGCACAGTAGAGAGGGCACACCATCCTGGATGTTTTAAAGCGGAGACTCCTGCTCTAACATGCTGTCCAACAACCTGACTGCTGAACAACATGAAACAATGGCAGCATTATTTGATTTACTCCTGAATGCTGATGCAGAGTTCCTGGCTTTGTCTGCGAGAGGGCAGGGTGGCGCTTCGTCTTGCCAACAGTTACTCTTTCAGCGAGTTTGGGTCTTTTGTTTTGGAAATACGGGGTAGCTGCTTAATTCAAGCAAAGCCACGCGAGACTGACGGCTGTTCCAGGAGAATCTGTATCACATGGATTATTATTGACATGGGGCAGATTTACAATCTAGATACTTGGTGTCATTCATCAGTTCTCACACAAAACATCGGACAGGCCCAGATACAGAGCAGAGAGGCCATGATCCAGTCAAACTGGATTAACACCTTCCAACAGCTACAATGGAGGAGTCCAGCCCGGAGCGCACAAAGAGGAAAAATGAATGAACAACCTTCTTCTATATGAGCAGTGAGCCTGAAATTGGAAAATCATTCAAAATCAGCCCACCCTGCATTTCTCTGGCCTATTGGAGCCACCATCACATTTTAAAGATTTGCCACTGTTAAAAACAGAAGAACAATCCACTACAAGTGTCTCGGCTTCAGGTGTCCTTTGATACAGACACACTTCATTACATGTTTTTGTGATTTTTAACTAATGGTCCAGTCTCAGCGTGAGTCTGCATTCATTAAGCTGTCATTTACAGTCACGCTAGTTTCTCCTTTCCCTGCTCCAGGTCTCAGTGTGAGTGCACCTCCTCAAACATATGCATGCAATGTGAACAGTAGAGCTGACATGAAAGGTGGAGTGTATATATGTGCGTATCGATGAAGGTGAGAAAGCTGCTTAACGTAACAAACAGAAAAAGAGTGTGCAGCACAGGTCGTCCTCGGATCTTTCCAGCAGTATCAACACACACGACCTGACTGTGCCTAAGACAAAAGCAACTGGAATACCTTCAACCTGAGCTACACTGCTGATGACTGAATCAAACAGATCAGGCTCATAGTTTGTCCCATTGTCACGATGACAGCATCTCCAACTTTCATAGTCAGGATCAGACTGACATCAAATTTGTCATTTTTATTTTGAAGGTGCTGTGCTGCCCCCTGTAATCACCATGTAACAAGTAAAGAGTAAGTAGAAGGTTGAGTTTCCAGCTCAAGTTCAACCAATCATCAGTAGCCTAGCTGACAGAAAGATTACTGTTCAATCCTAATAGGGCAACGATGACATGTCTCCTCCCCCCAGCTTTTTATCTGCACAGTGGTAGATTTGGCTCTCAGCAGTTCTAACCAGTGTTGTTGACTAAAGTTTCATTTCCGCTACTGCGATGTACATTTTTACTATTGAAATAATCAGATATTAAACAGGAAGACCATGACACCATGTGACCATGAAGCACAGGTGCTTAGATGGCCTCCTGTCCCACAGGGCACATTCTGAGCAACAAACACCTCATTATTGACCTTTGCAGACACCAATGCACAGAACTGACACCACCGCTTTTGTTTTGATACTACAAGATCAAACATCAACACGGGGGCCCCACCCAGGTTACATGTTACATTACAGTATACAACTTTCATTAAAATTAGAAAAAAAACAAAGCTATCCATCCTAATCTCTCATCCTGTTCTACTGCTCGCTGATGTGACCACAATCACAGCTCTTTAACTGTTAAGCAGAACAAAGGTCTGCAAACTGGGCTCAACTTTATTGTTTTATGCCAAACAAAAGTGATCAAAAGGAAGTGCAGCTTATGCTCCTATCTGGAAATGTACAGCTGCAAAACTTAACTGAAATAGAGAGTATATGTAATGTGTATATTTTGAAGGCAGTGTTCATACAGCAGTTAATGAAGCTGTCGTAAGCTTTGGAAGAGGTGTGGTGTGTTTCAGTCTTTAGCAACACGGGTTGGAAAGCGCATCTGTAACCGGAAGGTTGCCGGTTCGATCCCCGGGCTCTCTGTCCTGGTTGTTGTGTCCTTGGGCAAGACACTTTACCCTGCCGCCTACTGGTGCGGAGTTATATTTACTTAGGCCCACAGGAACCAGTCTACCTGCAGGTTGTGGTTAGAGGGCCCAGCTCGCTCCAGAGCAGCAGGAAGATAACTGTGGAGCTTCTAGAAAAAGCCACTAAATGATGTCAAGCACCACCACAACAGCAACTTGGTCAGCCAATAGAGAAGCACAGGGTGTGAAGGACTGCAGCTAGCTGGTTAGCAGTGACTAAAAGGTTCAAAGAAGAATGAGGGCATCTACTAGCAAATCGATTACGGATAGCATTGTTTGCTCAGATACAAAGAAATCACCAAATATGTTGAGCTGCTGTTGATATAAATGGGTCCAAGTGAAAACGATGCCTGGGAAACAGTGGACACATCTACGTGCCCATCCATACAATGTCTTCACCAGTCTGTCACAGGGCCAAGTTAGAACTTAACAAACAAAGTAAATGGACTGGTCCTTATATCGCACTTTTCTACACTGGGCTCATTTAGCTTTTCACACCCATCTGTACGAGCACGTTTTTCTAGGTTTTTTTTTTTTTTTTCTACGCAGGTGCTTTTCTATCCAGCATTCACACCCAAGTGGACACATCACAGAGCAACTCTAGGTTGGTATCTTGCCCAAGGATATTTGGCATGCAGCCACCCCACAAGTTACCACTTGTTTCATTATAGTGTAACAGATGCACAACAACTTTGGTATTGATTCAAACCAGAGTATTGATTTTATTTTGGCAATCTTACTAAAGTCAGTTAGTATAGATATATAAACTTTTATATATAAAGAGCTTCTCTTCAACATCTGTGCAGAGGCAGGGAAAGAAGAAACAAGTAGGGCTGCTAGAAGTGTGAACAAATGCTTAATTTAAATATAAAAAACTGGGTGTGAATGAATCCACATCAAGAAACTGATGTTTCAGTCATCGGTTAGAAGCAGCTACTGTTTTTGTGCGATTGCATGTTGGATAATGATAACAGCACACAACAGGCTCAGTCTAAAAAGGAATCGGGCCGTCTCTCCTGCACTGCAAATTCATTTTTAGAACAGTCTGTCCAAGTTACTTCTCTCATCTCTTATAATGGTTGCTCATCATTCATGAGTTAAATTATTATACGTGAACTGCCTACGCAGCTGTTATGCATCCTGACAAACACCGCGCATGTAATTGCTGACTGCTAAAAACAATCACAGTAATTAACTGTGCATCGTAAAATCGTACAAATCCTGAATTATTTCACTGCCGACCGTGAAATCTACAAGGACGTATAAAACGAAATGATTTCTCTTCTCTTGCTCATTTCAGCTGTGATGAGACTCCATGATGAGATGAAGGTCGCAGCTACGAGTCAAACAATCACCGCTCTGCTCCTGCATCTTCACCATGAAAGTCTCACTTACTGCGACACGTGCATGCAAAACACACACATATGTACCCACACCTTCAGTGTGCTCTCAGACGATGCTGAGAATCTCCTGCTGTCAGTGTCTATTAGGAAAAAGCAAGCACATTGTCTCTGCGTCACACTTGAAATTAGCATAATGACTAATTCTGCTCCTGAGGCTAGAGAACATCTGCCTACACCAGTAAGTGTCGTCACATTAAAGCTCACTATGAACACAAACCATTAACAAACAAAACAAAAACCACCTGGAAGCCACAGCACCCACTTTCTCATCGTCGATTAACCTTTCATGATGATGACAACATCCGTATTGCACAGAAACTATCGTTCGTTCAGGCTTTAAAGGATATCTGCCGGCCGTGCTTGTCGAGGGGTCGGCGATGGGGAGAGTTGATACGGTTGCGGTCCCTGTGGACCCTCTCGACCAGCCCGTGGTGGCGAGTCCCTCTCACAGAGTCCAAACCTGAAGGGAAGCCACCCTGTAAAGGACACAGCAAAGGAACTGTTCACATCACACACATCAAAAAGCTGTTTCCTGAAATGTAGTTAGAACTGCTGAAACTTGGTGAAAGGTGCTGCAGAACTGAAACGAGCCGTTTAGTAATCATGTTAATTAAGGTTGTACACCTAAACAGAACAGACTTAATGTGATCACTAACACCTTTTACACCTCACTGTGCTCCATATTTTCACTCTTGTACACTATTAGAGCAGTTATGCCACAGTCACTGGCCCTCAGTAGTAGCTCCTCCCCTTTCCCCTCTGGTTAAGATGACTTTCTTCTGATTGGAAGCCCCTCCCAAACCAGCGGTTTAAACAGCAGGTTGATGGGGTTTGTGGGCCTTAGATGACCAACGCAGAGATATCCCTTCTCTATGACATCTCATGCTGCTGTGCATAAAAAACAACTACCTGACAGCAAGCATATGGAGCAGTCTGCAGCCAGATTATCTGAAACTTTAGCCATGTGTGTAATTTAAAAGCCAACATTGAAAAATGTGACAGATACACACCTTTAAAAGTCTACAAACACTGTCAGAGACCAATATGTACCCATGCATTTTCATCACATAAAGTGCCACAGTGAAATACATGTAATGTCACATGTTTAACAGTTTAGAGCTGTTTATTCCCTGGCTGAAACCCAGACATGTTACTCAACTATGTTAACATAAAGATCGAACCATCTGTTTTCATACAAGTCATCTTTAAAGTGTCTGGTAGTTATGTCTATATATGCAGCTCTGACCACAGGTATGTAGTCATAGAATTAAAACACTAAGACTAAACATCTTACAGACATTAACAGTGAGCGGCAGGTAACAGAGCACAAAATAACGCTGAAACCGATTAAAAACCCTGAAAACCATACATTTCACACCTGAGCCTCAACTCTCGCGGCCCGGTACCAAACGACTCACGGACCGATACCGGTCCGAGGCCCGGGGGTTGGGGACCACTGACATAGAGCACCTAGAGAACCACAACCACTATCCTCAGTGATTTGTGAGAGCAATGGGTCAGATATAGAGCATAAAGCAAACCGCCTCAGTGCAAATTAGCAGTCATTGCTCGATGAAGTCAACAAGACCACATTATTTACCCAAAGCAGAGATGAGATCCTGAAATAGCTGAACTCAACACCTTCCATCCCATGCCTGCACTAGAAAGAGAGCACCTAGAGAGTCTATAAAATTACATCAGAGTCAGTGATGAAGGGCAGTCCTGGCAAAGTCAAACCCGCCGAGAACAAGTCTGACTTGTAGCTAACAATGTGAACCAAGCTCCCACTGTACAGGGACATGATAGGAATACCACATACCCCAACTTCCCAAAACATCCCGAAATGCAACTGGATCCCTTCTCCAAGTTTACTAGTTGTGTTTTGTGTGTACATATGGAGATAAGTTGGGAAAACTCCCACAAATGCTTGAATATCCTTGAGAAAGAGCTGAACGAAAACCAAATCGTTCTTCCAGAATCCAAGCTTCAACTAACGGACTCCCCTCTCCAGCACCCTGACATAGACCTTACTGCACTCAGGATCTCCTTGGAATATTGTTGAGATTCTGACTGAGGGTGGGATTTAAAGACCTCACTGCCCGAGGCCTCAGCCAGATGCTCCCAACGGACCTTTGCTATATGCTCGGCTGTACTAAGCCTGTGTGACATCCTCTCCACACTACCGATAGTAGTGTTGCATTATTGCATTGGTTAGGTTTTGTATGCTTGCAGTATTCAGGTCTTATGAAAGGAATTTTGGAGTTTAAGAGGTCGCACTTTAGTGGAGAAATAAATCAGTTCAGTATACAGATTATCACCCCAGTCAGCTGAGATCAAGCAGAGGACGTTTCCACCTCTCGTTAGGGCTGGGCCATATTATACCGTTCACGGTAATACCGGTACAATGTTAGGCAACGATAAGAAAATGAAATATCGCAACATAATATGGGTGAAACGCGCATGCGCAGTGCCTTTGTTTTCATACGCACATGGCCGAAAAAGCATGGTGGCAACAGAGAATGAGAAGGGAAAAAGCGGATCGTTGAGTGAAACAGATGAACCAGAATTAGTTTGTAAAAATGCTGCCACTTCAGTGATGCGGAACTGGTTTGGTGTTTGTCCATCAGATACACAACAAAGCACTTTTTTTGTAGAACATGCAAGCGGGCTGTCGTTATTGCCGTATTTGTTGGACTAAGGTGCTTGTAATTCTGGGAGCAATCTGGGTCCTAAACTCCGTATGCTTCAGGTCAAACAACACTGCAGCATCACTAAGAGTTAAAAACTGTCTAAATTCTTTCATCTTTAATAAAACGATCAGCGTTGCTGCTTTACCAGGTGTAACTATGAAGTTTAACATCCAGGCATTCATGAAAACAGAATTTATTACATTTAACGGAGTTAGAAGCTAGCAGGAAGTTAGCAGGAAGTTAGCGGAAGTTAGCTCGCTAGTTTCGCTAGTTACCTAAGCATGATATAGCACGTTCTGACAGGGAGATTTCTGAAAAAATTCAAACGTACAGCTCTGCTATCACTTCCAACATAAATGAAGACAGAAAACTAAACAGCAGTGACGTTTGTAGGGTTACTGAAGTTGGGCTAGCTGGTATATAATGATGTGCTACGTGATCGCTAGCGACACAGCTATGTTAGCATAACATAAACAGTGAAGCTGGAGGATGAACGCTAACTTTTTTCCACTCGATAAAAGTTAACGTGAAGGTTCCTGATGGTTAGAGACAAATGCAATCACATGGCAGGATGCTGTAAACGGACCAAACTTCAGTCAGGAGAACAACTGAGATAATCCATCCACAATACAAGGTTAGTCATTAATATACTGCAACAACATGGGAATAGAGCAGCTGTGAGAGAATACAGCATTAATGAATCAATGGTACAGAAGTGGAGGAAGCAAGAAGTGTGAGTTGAATAAAGTTTGATTTATCTGACTGCTTTGTTTCGCTTAATGTGCCTTATAATCCTGTGCACCTTATGGTCCGAAAAATACATGTTTGACTTTTTTATGCAGTTTAATGTAGCAAAGCACCTCTTTTTAACTTCAGTGGATATTATACATGGTTATGCTCAGGATATGTCAGCGCATTTCTACTGGTTAAACCCAAAAGCCTTTTGGTTAAACATTCAGCAAGGAATTTACTTTTACACTGTTAAATGTTTATATAGCTTTAATGCACATAAAAAACAGCTGCTTGTTTAAGTGAAAAGAAATGGATGGGGTTTTTTTCCGCTAGTGTGGAGTTCTGTTTTGTCTCGCGTCAATTATATCGTCAGTTATATCGTTGTCGCAAATTTTCAAATATATATCGTGATAAATATTTTTGGCCATATCGCCCTGCTCTACCTCTCGTTAAGGCTTAACACGTGATGGTAGTATTGTGGTGTTTGGGAAAAGTTGGGATTAAATGGGTTAATTCTGTCTGATTAAGAAAGCCTTGGCAAGTATTACATTAAGCACTCTGCACTCATTTAATTGAATTAGGGCTAACAAATGATCACAATCGAGTAAGAGCTAGAAGCCATTTAGTTTGTGGCATTTTGTTCCCAGTAGAGACGAATGCACTCGATCAGTGAGGGAGGCTTTATCCATCAGTGAGGGGAAAGCTCCACCTCAAAAGGCCATTCTTTCAGCTAACAGGGACACCTTTACCTGGACTTTGTGTATCTTAGGACAGATACTCCTCAGAGAACTGATACACGTCCCAGTGTGACAGAAAAGCTCTGTTAGAACTGCAGCATTGATGTTTTATCCTGGTTTTTCTTCCAGTCTGCAGAAACTCGAGTGAATTATTTAATGCTCTCGAGAGAAGCTTGTTTGCACTTCTAAAGATCCAGCACACAGTTTTGCTGCTTTTGCAGTTGAGCCGCACATCAAAAGTGGGCATCAAACACAGCTGACCTTGAACAACCCCTCAATGAAAACGAGATCTTACACATGATGGACTGCAATTTCAAGGAAAGCACACGTCTTTTTCTTTTCTTTTAATAAGAAATCTTTTTTAGCTTAACTTCAAAACTTCAAACCGACTAAAACCTCCCGTGTTTCTGCACCAGTATGTCCTGAGGCCATGTTCAAACTGACATTAGCCCTGTGAGGCCTCCTCAATAGGTTTGAACAACAATGCTGCACTGATGCGGCTGCAGCGCTAATGCAGAGCTCCACCAAGACCAAACATACATATATAAAGAAAGACAGAAATAAGGCTCGTCTAGTGAAAGAGTTGAATTTGGCTCAACTTCACTGCAGCATAACTGCACAAGAATTGGCCCAAGTGCACAATGAGTATTTCTGTTAAACCTCTGGGCTTTTTTCCACACAGATTTCATACCGACCTTATCAATTCCATGATATTTCATTTTGCTTAAAGTCTTAGAGAGGTGTTATTACATTTTGAATGCAGTCTGTGTGGGTGCTGTATATTTTGATGGTGACGAGTTCCCACCTGAAATTCAGTGCTGGTGTTGCCGATTTGATTGACGTTGGGCAGAGAGCCTCCGTAGTACTGTGCCCTTGACTGAGACAAGCGAAGCTGCTGGATCTTCTGAAACTGGACCTGCGACAAAAACAGAGTCACGTGTTGATCGTCTGGGGACGTAGAGAACAAGTTCTGAATGAGAAATGAATTTGAGCAACCGACCTTATATCATACTTCAAATTCTGCAACATCCTGCGGATGTCTAAAATGTCACTTGGGGCCCACTCCTGTTATACTGTCACTGCTCCTCAAATTGCATTTTTTTTCTTTGCATGTCTCATCAAATGGATTTATGGTTTTCAATCAGTTTGAAGCAATATCGTAGTGCAAGCAGCCACTCCAGATGCTTTAGCACAGCTGTGCTCTTATTATTCAATCTTATTTTACCATCTACATTTTGGAAGTGAACAGAGAGACAGGCGTAATGTATAAATGCATTAAAAACTGTCTGTCTGATTAAAAAGCAGCCATATCCACTGGGCACTGGGGACACATTCTAGGAAATGGGCAGCTTGGCGTCCACATTAGCAGCCTACTGCAAAGACGCCACAATGATTACCTCGCAGAAAACAGAAGGCAGCTTGTTCTGCCAAGGTAAACAGGGCCGGCCCTTAGCTGTGATCGGGGATAGGCAAATCAGAGGGGCAACTTCCCTTAGAGCGCTGAAAGGACAAAATTTAAATTTCAAAGACTGGCCTTGTTTGATTGTATCGTGTTGTATAAGAGTTTACAAAGAGACTGAAGTTGGCAAGAAATTTGGGGCGAGCTAGGACCACTGGACTAAAAACCTTATCTTTTGGCACAAAATGTATCAGTTTCTGTGCAGTGTGGGCGAAAGACTGTTCTGATTCAGCACATGCAGCACAGCAGACAGTGGTACGGTGTTTAGAGGTGCTGGTGGTCAGTAACCAATGGGTCTGTGATATACACGACTGAAAAGTTGGTAAAGACAGGCTTCCTCAAGCCAACTCAGAAATTTTTACTGCCAACAACTGGTATTTAATGTCAGAGGGTTTCTAGCCTCAAATTTCAGTAACATTGATTATTAATGTAGGACACATGAAAAAAATATTGCCTCTCTTGGAGTGTCTGGGTCAGCCTTTATGTAACATCTACATATATTTATGGATGTGAAGGGTGCAGACTTAAGCCTCTTGGTGTACTCGCTACAATGCAGAGTTCTGCAGAGCTTCTCAGGGGTTGATAGTAAGACTTTATGGTCGGTGTAAATGCTGAAGTAGCTATTTCTAATTTCAGCTGTTTGCTTCAAGTGTGCCCTGTGGCCTGGCCACCTTCAGCCTCACTGACTGGGCTTTTCTGTCTCAGAGGTCACTTACAGTTCACATCTTATGGCAAACTTAACTCAGTGTCGCCTCAAAACCACATCCTCTTTGACTAGCCATTTAGGACTCTCGCTCGCACAGAAAGAGCCCACTGTCAGTGGATGGAATGAGAATAATGTGAAAAGGCCTTTATATCATCCAAGGAGTTTTTATGACTTGGAATGCATAAGGTTTACAGTCACAGGAAAATGGATTTTCCAGGTTTATGTGTGGTCTGATATCATCCTAGTCACAAATCTAAACAATCTAGCAAATAATACACAAACACTGTACATTTAATGTCTTCAGTAGCTAAGAAAACTTCCCATCTCAAATCTGACGTAATTGCACCTGCAACGCATGCAGGTCTAAGGTAGCAAAGCACCTCCAAACCCTAATGCTTCACAGCTGGGATGAGGCTTTAGTGTTGGTGTGGAGAGCTGTTTAACCACTAAACAACAAGTGTGTCTTTTCTCAGACAGAGCAGCTACAACAGGAGCCATTACCAGCTCCTAATGTTAACGTTTGGCATCCGCCCGGAAATAACAGAAACGTTTTCATCTATTTTTTAATCATTTTCTCTTTATTTTTTGTAGCATCACATGAGAATCAATCTGTCTTTGTTTGAGTTACAATTCAGAATTACGTTCTGATCATCTTTTCAGTCATTGAGCACAGTTCCTAGAGTACATGAGGTGGTCATGTCAGGGACGTGCAACAACATCTGCCAACAGCAGCCTTATTGACTTCTGTTGGCCTAAAGACAAATGTTGTGACACTGAAATAGTGTAACACCATGACTTCCCTAGTGTGCATAACAAGGCAAGTCCTGGAATGTCTGAGAGCAAGAGCTGCTTGCCAGACTCTGACAACAACTTAAAAGAGCACTACTTAGCAACCTCCAACAAAGCACAGCACTTTGGAAAATAAAGGCCAAAATAACAAACATGTTTCACCATTTGCAACAAAAACAAAACAAAAAACCCAACCAGACTACGAAGGAGGAAAAGATGCTACCAGCAGGTAATGTGCAACCCAAATGTAAACAAATGAATCAACCGAGCATGGCTGGAGCATCGGTTGTCATATGGAGCCATGGTTGCAGTCCATATGACAGGAAGCGCCAACGACAGATGGAAATTACTGACGTAGTTGCATAGTGGATCTGTAAGCAACAGGTTAAAACACTCAAATGTTCAACGTGCCAGGCAGAAAATTGTTTCACTTTCAATGTTACTATGTGACAAATACTGTGCAGGCTGCTGAAGAGTTACAAGGTTACTTTAGTTATTGTTATACTAACGTGTTACACAGTTATTTGATACTTTTACTTTAAATTTCCTGAGAAAACACGACCCAGACTGCTTATATTTTGACTTGTGCCATGTCACTGGATGTTTTGGATACTTTGCTTTGTCACTACTATTGCACTACAAACCTGCTGCTGCTCGCAACTTGTTAAACTAGAGTCACACGTTGAATTAGGTACTGTCATCAGTAACAGTTCACTGGAAAAGGCGGCACACTGAAAAAACACTGTAATGCAAGTAACAACATAATGGTTACAGCCATGTACTTACTGAACTAAGTACAGTAATGTGTTACCGAGTTACTGAAAAATGTAATGTGACTACAGCAATGCGTTACTCTAATTGTTACATTGTAACCCAACACTGGTCATCACATGTTTACAAGTATACAAATGTGACAAGTGAAGAAAGTGAAGCGAAGCACTGACTGACACAAAGAGTGAGACTATGTAACTAATGTGCCGACATCACGAGCCTCTTTAGTTCGCCCTAGTCGGACTTCTCTTTTCAAATTCGTATTACATGAGACAGTAAGCATCAAGTTGAACCTGTGAAAGCATTTTCAAGAAATACACTGACAACGTGTAAACTCTGCATTTCTGAACAGGAAACTCCTTCAGTGTTTATGAAGCCGGAGCATGTCCAGAAGGGGGCCTGAAAGACCGGCTGCCAACGCCATTAGCATATGGTAGTGTTACTCTTACAACGCCAGCGCCAACGAGCGAGAGCACAGTCTGGGGGAAAAAAGTACTCGTGTACTTTTACTTCACTGGTACTTTAAGTAATTCTATGTCTCTACTTCTGCTCCACTATAATATAGATTAATATATTGTAATTATATTGTAAAGCTTAGTTATGTCTTATTTTGCATGTTTAAAAATATAACTCTAATGAATGATGCTATATAAATACAGATAAAAGTCATTAAGTAAGGAGTCAAACTCATCTGATACACAAATGCATAAATACTTATGAGACAAAATCATTATGTATATGATTCTGCATAATGAGTGCTTTTACTTTAGTTACTTTATTCTTATGCTCAAACTTTTATACGGTTGTGTTAGATATGTTTTTAATAAAATATTATATTAAAATTAACAATATATAAGAAAATAAAGTAGGTTTATGACTTTAGTAAAAAGTAAGTCTAAAAAGAAAATGTTTCATATAACGGCATCACGGGGTCACACAGAAGCTGGAAAACTGTGCCCATGTTTTCTGTGCCTAATGTGTACACTTTATTTATTTGTGCTAAAAAAAAACAAAAACTTCCTGTGCCCCCTCCCCGTGCCATCCCATTCAAGAAAAATCCTGTACACGCCCATGACAAACAGGACGGCTTTTAAGCGGTTGGTGCAAATATTAAGGAGCCAATTTCTCCATTCCTGTCTCACCGCCGACTGCAGTTTAAAAAGGCTGTACGTCAATCGCTGCACCCCAAGTCGCAAGTTGCTTAATATTTGGCTCTTGAGTAGAATTACATAAGCCGAGTATCGACGGGTGTGATTTACGGCTGCTCAAGAGAAACGAGAAGTACTGGTTGAATACCAGAAATCTCCGCCGGCAGATGAAGCCTGACAGCTCCGGTGTGAATGAGGTATATGACCACATCCGCGTAGAAGACAAGAGAGCAATAAATGTCAACAAGCTGAAAGTGAAGCGCATTTACCCTTGAGACATTGAGGTCCGTCATCAGCTGTTCAAAGGCCCGCGTCTCCTCTGCTTGCTTCTGGTTGTGCAGCGCTATCTTTTCGCTGAACTTCCTGGGGTTCGAGCCACCTGTGCCTGGGGAGCTGGACATGGTGCGGGCCGCAGTTCAACAACTTCAGCTACTTGTTTTGAGTGGAAGACTGTGCTGGTGGGGTCTTATTTTGCAAAGTCTCTCAGCAAGCGTTGTAGCAAACCCATGAGAATTTTAAGAGCACACCTCGCGTTATCGGTTAAACTAAAGTCACTTCAGACGTAGCTCGGCTGGCTGCACTGTCTCAATGCTTTTACAAGGCAACAGGCAAGCTAACGCGGCTAGGCTAACACTCAAAGCTCCCTTTAATAAAAGTTGTTTAAGTGTGACTAAAAAGCGGACAAAATAAAAACTTTGCAAAGTATATATTTACTCTGACTTTCTAGGCAAACTGCGAGGCGACAATGGGTTAAAGTTAAGCTGTAACTTCACGCTGACACTCTTCCAGCGAACCACTTGTTTGAATCTAACGTTAACATGGCGTTAGCTGTCACTGCTAACATAGCGTTGGAAGTGAACGGAGAGCAACAGCGACAGCTAGTCGGCTAAGCTACTGTCAGTGCCATTTTAATTCCGACAAATGCACTTTATCTGCTTGTCGACATCTACCCGCTGTCGGTATCTTTTAGAGGAAACTTCCACCTAAATATTTACAGCTGCGGTCAGAGAAAGTTGATAGCCTCGTTAGCTAAATCTCTCCACTCCCGCTAGTAAAGCTGACCCGCAGTTGGCCAAAGGTTTACTCGCCGAATTGTATTTCAACAAGTTTCCGCTCGTTTTGCATAGACTTAGCTGTAGTTCCACTTTGTTTCCAACCAAACCGGGGAAAGCAGCCGCTGAATATTGGCAAGTGACGTAAGGATCACAATCCACAGTTTGACACTTTAGCTGATATGACAGCGCTTCGGAGTCGACTCTAGTGTTAATCCATGGACAGCATAGAGACCGCAGACAAACTCCAGCCGAGCGACTCCGTGAAGATAAAACAAACAGCGCCGACAGGGAAGAAAAAAAAACGGTGGTTTCCCCGTCGCCGATAAACCAGAAGTCTCTCGGAAAAAATGTTTTTAGCTTATTCGTCCTTGGTTGAGGGAGCGAGTAACAGCAACTCAGATCGGCTGGCTTGTTATCCTCATACTACTGCGAGAAAAACATTACCTCGTCAAAGGCGGTGTGTACCTGTGGTATCCACAGGGGGGCGACAAAGTCACCACGCCCTTACCTTACGCAGCCGCAAGAAAAAGTAAAAACAAAACATGGAACATCACTGGCTATAGCTATAGATCAAGAAAACTACTTCTGTGCTTACAAGATTTTCTTAAATGCGCTATTTAGATATGCAAGTATTGCATTTATCAAATTAATTTTCATGTTTCTATGAAATAGAATAATAAAACTATAATAAGCTATGTACAAATCGTGCTCTGAAATACACATGAAAAACACCCTTAAAATGTGCATCGTGCATGAATGTACCATAAACATGATGAGTACACTGTGCTCTACAATTCACCTATTAGAAATCCAGATTTTGCACATATTATGATGGAAAGTAAAAGAATTCAGGAGCTGGACTGTCCTGTTGTTCTGTTGGAACAAAAGGTTGTGTAAATCAGAATCTTAATGATATGTGAACAATCCAATCAGTCAAACAGGAAACAAAGTTTGGTGTGTGTCTCAGGTTTATGCAGGGCACCCAGTTTTCAAACACACAGAAACATCTGTGCAGGAAAACTCCACACTGCTGTCGAGCCTGCAGACACTGAGAATACTCAGCATTTAGCTACAATACATCAAATTACTGAAAACTGCGGGTATGACACAGTAGTATGACACATTTACAAATCCAGTTCCAAAAAAGTTGGAATACTGTGTATAACAGGTAAATAAAAACAGAATGCATGTTGTGCATATCTTGTGCACAATAGCATTACTCCGTAGACTTCTGGGCAGAGAGACCAGCTGCTGAAATGTTGGGAAAGGACACAGCAGTCCTGGTTCGTCTTTGTCATGCCTTTCGTTTCACGATGCATCAAATGTTTTCTGCTGATGGAAGCTTTGGAATGCAGGCGAGCAAGTTTAGCACCTGGACTTTGCCATTGTGACGCCATGCTGTTGTAATAGATGCAGTATGTGAGCTCCAAATCCTGCCTTTACCTTTCAGCACTCGTGTGGAAACACTAATGTAGTGCAGAGAAGCAGAAGGTCCCTCTCCTCTTTATCCCAGAGGATGCAGCATCCTTGTATTCCAAAACAAATTTCACATTTTCTATTTGTCTGGCCACAGAACAGTTTTCCACTTTTCCTCGGTCCATGTTAAGACAGCAGTGTTTCCGGTTCACGTATGGCTTTGTCTGCGCATCGCAGGGCTTGAACCTGCATCAGTAGACGACACCGTGATGTCTGGAAGTGTCCCTGACAGAATCACATCGGTTTTTACTGAAGTGCCGCCTGAGGGCTCAGAAATCCTTGCACAGAGAATTCTTCAGCTTCCTAGAATATGTAGATATTATTACATGGCACAGATGATGAGATCATCAAAGTCTTTGCAATTCTACAGTGAGGAAGAGCGATCTGCAGTGCTGAACCTCTGCCTCTCCAAGATGCTCCTTTTATACTCAGTCTGTTACTTTTCCAGGGCTTTGTTGAGGCATGTCGCTGCTGCCGTAGTCAGAATGGACTGAACGTTTTCTGAAAGTGTTACATTTTCTGTTTAATTTTTTCTTTTTAATTGTCAATCAAATCTAGATTTGAAAATCACCGTTTTATTAACATTTTACGCAACATCCAAACTTTATGGGAAGCGGGTTGTAATTTCACTACACATTCCTTCTGGTTGTGTGTGTAGTGGAGGTGGGTTTACAGGTGGTTGTAACATAAAATGGAAATGCTCATTTGGGAAAACGCCTTCTCTTCCTGCACGAAAACTGTAAGATTAGGAAAAAGGCAGCGCATTGGTAGAGCTTTATTCTGAAACTGGAACAAGCACATTTCATCAAATGAAGAACAAATAATGAAGCGAGCACAAGGTGGCCACCTCCGATCAAAGTGAGTCTGCGTGAGAAGCAAAATCGATTTCACCAAGTCTGCACAGATTTTCAGCCTGGCTGAAACAATCGCTTCAAGGACCACTCAAACGCCACGACGTGACAGCGCAGAGTGACATCTAGTGGGCCCACAAGGTGCTGTAACACTGCACGCACACTGGAGCTCATTGGGTGATGGTGCAACCATCAGCTCCAGCAGACTGAAAACATAAAATATAAATAATGGCGACCAGGTATTTTCAACGCTAGAAGCATTCTCAGTATTTAACATCTGCTCAGCTTACAAGTCCAAATCCCATCTTGTTTTACAATTCATCAGGCATCATGTTGTGCTTACCCATTTTATAACGTAACAAATCGTTCTACAAGATAAAAAGAAAAGTAATGATTTCCAGTAAGTTATCTGAGAAAGCCAGCAAAGCGGCACGTCTGCCCAGTTTCGTGTGATTCCACGTTTCGCTTGCTTCTCTTGCGGGAGCCAGAAGCACAAATGCACGGCAGGTCAGTTCTGAGAAGCAGCAGGGCTGCAGTCACGGCCAGCTCAGTCCACTCAAAACCACTGACCCGTCTGTAGACAGGAAAGGCCTCAGAGCCAGATCAGCACCAGTGCAGCCTGGACTTCAGAGGTAACATCACACTCCTGCAGCTCAGTGTTAGAATTGGACATTTTGGTGACTGATGTCACAGTAAAGCCAGGAGAAGATGATCAGAGAGAGAGACGGCTGCAGCGCTTTCACCATAAACACACGATCAAAGATAAGGAGCCCATCGTTTTCTTTTCTCTCAGTTTTTCCTGGACAAAGTGCCGTGTACTACAACCCTGCTGAAAAGTGCGCATGCACATCGATGATGTTCATCGGGCTTTTCTCAGTCAGGTGAGCGGATGAACTAACAGCTGAAAAAGACGTAAAACTCTCTTTACATAAAAAAAATACACTTTTTTTCTTTTTAGATCTAAGCCCATGCACAACATATTCAGAGTATTTAGAGCAAAAACAGAAATTACAAATCTTAAACCTCTGACCGAGCCTCAATGAGAGATGAGGCACTAGGAAAAAACTTGGGTAATGGAGGTTTTGCATTAAGAATAAAGGATACTACATATCCATGTAATAAAACATAATGCATAAACTTGTATAGGCACAGTGGAGACGTGCTGGAGGAAATGTGTAGGTAAGACAGCATGGTTCTGGTCAGGGCTTTAAAGCAACCCTCAGAGGGGGGGTTGTGGTTTCAGTGTCTCTAGCCCTTTTTTCTCCTCTTTTTTTTTCTTCTATTTCCCATAAAATTTCTTGTTGAGCAGGAAAATGAGCAGGTTGACGTTAATGGTGGCCCGGTCGAAGAGCTTCATCACTGCCACGCCTTCATACTGCAGCTGGAGCAGATCCTGTGAAACAAAAACCCAAAGAGCTCAAACAAAATACGTCGCTGGTCAAGCTACTGCGAGAAGAGCCAACGAAGCTGAGAAAGGCAACGCTACCTGATATTCTAACTGTAACGTCTCCAAGTGGACGCCCATGAACTTGGCCTTCACGTCAAACACTCCGACCGACTCCGATGGGGAAATCTCAAAAATGGCATTCTTGAACCTGCGATGAGAAAAGAGCAGAAGACGGCTGTTTAAAGCAGAGGAACGGCAGACTTCTAACCTTGGGCTGTTCATGAAGCTAACTGTATACGTGATCAGCTGCACAACTCACTGGTTGGGCTGCAGGTCCTCTATGGAGATCAGCACGCCCTTTTCGTGCAGGCGGGCGGCTGTGTATTTCTGAGAAACCTGTTTGCTCTTCTTAGCCTTGTTGTCGCCTGGTTTCTTTGACAACCTGAGAAGAAAGACACACAAGTGTACAATAAAAGCAGCTCTCAGCACAGACTTCAAGGCTCACTATTGTATTCTAGGCTGTGACATGCAGACTTTAAAAACACTGAAGCCAATGCTGCACGGTCACCATGCAGCAGACGACGCATCGCAAGTCGCTTACGTGCATTTAAATGGAGGAAAACAACAAAGATTTATGCTGTATGTAACAACAGCAATTTCATCACATTCACAGAGTTCAAACAGCCAAAAGACGAACAAAAAGACCGCTTCGTGATTTAAATTTGACCGAGCAGCCCACGCCACTGCCTGTGTTTCTGTTATGGGCGGATACGAGCCTCAAACATCAGCTTGTGCTAACGAACGCTCACACTGAGCTGAGGATGTGAACACGCCTGAAGGTTGCCCATCTGGTCAAGTGCATGTTCAGTTTCTGCTTCTTTGTCCCCCCCAGGTCTGCCGAGGGAAGACATGTGGCACAATCAAGAGGTCTTTCTGCCACACCAACAGTGAGAGAAGATGCCGGGCAGGCCAAGAACATCTTTGATCCCCCAGGAAAAGATTATGAAGCTCAACCTGCCTCGAACCTTCAGAGGCAACGATGGTCCATTAAAAAAATCTGGCAGCTATAAAACACTCAGTGATTAGAGATTAAAATCCAAAAACAAGGAGTCCAAGGACCAGTGTGAGAGACTGGCTCCTATTTTTGGTTTTGACACAAATCAGACGTGAGCTGTAAGCTCGTCTGCGGAGGGAAAGCATACAGGATGTGACATTTTCAGGTCAGGTCTGAAGCCCATTTACGCTGGACGTTTGAGTGCAGTATGTTTCAGATGTGGTACTGAGGTTTGCACTGACAAACGCACAACTTTACCAACATGTAAGGTGACAAACTTGAGCTTCGCCGTATCCCCAGCAGCAGTGCAGCTCATGACAGCAGTAACAACCAGCAGACAGTGGAGGTCACTCACTTGCCCTTGCTGGCCAGGTTGTCCATGCAGGTCTTGATGTACTGATTGTAGGAGTCGATCTGCACATTGTAAAAGTTGCTCTTTGAATTCAGGGCGGCGTTGGTCTGCTGAAGCTTCACCAGCTCGGCTTTCCTCCGCTGCCGATACCGTCTCTGATTCCTGATGTCCTGCAGACATTGAAACGACAACCCGTGAGGCAGCCTCTCTCTTATTTGTCCATTGAAGGGACGAGCGGTTTATTTTACCTTGGCGATGTCATTGATGAGGTCCTGATAGCGGTT